CTTAAAGCATTATTTTACGATGATTCATAGCATAATCCAACAACTCAATCTTATAAATTTTCCACAAAGCTTGTATTTCCTTATATTGCTTACACATCTGATATCCACAACAGAAACATAAAACGAATAATACGGCAGTTCCAGAAATCCAAAATAACATTGACCATTCAATTCCATTCCATGTTGTGACCTGACATACAAAATCATACCAAGCACACATTTGAGATCTTATTTTTTCTACAGCTTTTTCAACAATTTTCTACTTTCGAGCAAGCATGCCTTTTACAGATATTATTAGTTTAGTTGACCATTGTATTTGGTCCAGTGTGCCTTGATTAGTTTGTATCTCCATATCCCAATCTGTATCATTCCACTCTATTTCCCCCAAATTTGGCAATGTTAATCTAGGGCAAGTCATAAAGGTTTTAGTCATTTGAGGGTGCTATTGATATTGTTTGTACTGGAAATGAGTTATATCTCCACTAGTGCACCACATCCCTTGGTCCATAAACTGGGTTTGGTTGCTTATTGTTACATTACCCTTTTCCTTTCGATGCCAACATATATCTTGGTTTATTTCATATAATCCCCACCAACCATTTTTCCATGGTAAATTCGTGGTGAGGTTACCTCCTTTCCGTTCCAAATTCCAATTTCCTTCGCACCCGCTCAGGTATCTGTTTTCTAGGTGGGAATACGAATTCAGGAGTCCTCATAGCTTGACCTGTCATTAACTGAAAAGGTGAGTACTTCCTTTCAGTTTGTCCCAGGGCTCTCATGGTCATCAGGATTGTGAGTAAAGCAATTTCCCAGTCTCAGCCTTGTGTTTGAATTTGCTTGGTCAAGGCTGTTTTTATTTCTCTATTCTTCCTTTCCACTTTTCCTGCACGTTTTGGGTGGTAGACTATATGCCATTTTTGTTGGATTCCCATAATTAATAATAATGCTTTTACCACTGTCCCAAGATATACCTAAGTATTCAACTTCTTGTTGTACCAGCTGTGCCTTGTCCCAGGATAATTTAAAGCCTGTGTTCTCCCCTACTGCCAGGACCAGCTTAGTTCGATGTTTACATTCCTCCGGGGCAACGGCTATTATCGGTATGTCATCCACATAAGAAGTAACCTGTGGCTTATCCAAATCAGGGAGCTGAGCCCACACCCTTGTCACGTGTGCATGTGCTGTAGCTGGAGCATTCTGGTACCCATGGGGACACGTTGAAATGTCAACTGTTTGTTCTGGAATGTAAAAGCAAATTGAGGCTGACTCTCAGGGGTCAATGAAACGGCAAAGAAATAGCACTATCCAATACAGAGAATCCTTTAGCAGCTGCCGCTATTTCACCCAGTATAGCTGGGAGATTAGCTCCTGCTGGTGCCATCGGGACTATAGCTGCATTGATGTTTCTATAATCAATTGTGAGGCCCCACCTTCCGTCCGCTTTCCGCACAGGCCAGAGCGGAGAATTGTATGGACTTTGGCACTCCCCCACCACTTCTTGTTCCTGTAAATCCTGTAGCAATTCTTCTATATGCGGAACAGCTTCTGCAGGACGGGAATATTGAGGAACAGGTTTTACAGATTTTCCTACAATTTCCACTGCTGCATGTTGCCCCCAGTTCGGATTTCTTCTTGGCCCACACCACGGGGAACTCTTGTGTCCAGTCATTATCGGGTAGCACCCAGCTTCCGTGGCTTTGCAAGCTCCTTTCCTTAATCGTCCTGAAATCACCAGCTCGCTCACAATCCCTGTCTCCCCTTTCCACAGCCAACCTCCTGCCAGATCAATTATCCATTTCTCCTGCTGTACCACATCTGCACCTAAGATACCATTTTCAGTCATGCTGTTACAGACCACTGTATCTGTCCAAAACTTAGTGTCCTATCACCCATGGCGGCAGGTTTTTCAATAAAATTCCTTTCACTCCTGTGCCCTGAAAGCCAAATAAAGGAATATTCTGTCCTTTCTGCACATCCTCCTGCACCAATTTAATCAGAGTTGCCTCCGCTCCAGTATCAATTAATACCAGCAACTGTTGTATGTTTCTTCCCGCCCCCACCTGCCCCACTTCCATGTAAGGTCTACCAGTTACATGGGGCTGCAATTTAGCCACTAATGTCCAATCTTGGGGGCAGGAGTTGCTAAGGGCATGGCAACCCTACTGAGATGTGGAGCTACCCTGCCGGGAAGCTGCCACATCCATCTGAGCCAATTCCTGGGATAACAAGCCGTAAGGGCCTACCAGATCTCCCGCACCTGTTCCCACAATCTCAACAGCCCTAGCCCTGGGCTGTGGTGCAGGCTGTGACGTGTTCCCTGCCAAATCACTCACAGCATTTAACAGAACCTCTAAACGAACCATATCTGCTCCTTTCTCCTGGAGTAAAGCCCATATCTGTGCTCACACTGATCCTCCACTGGACCCATCATGTCCTTTGTTGGGTTGTCCCATTCCATGTTCCATACTAACGTGATTAGGACCACTGTAGCCTGCTCGGTTGCTGTAAGAAACCTCTCTGATTGCCTTCTGGGAGGAGCCACTTCTGCTTACCACCTTTTCTGCCTCTCGGGTCATTTTAATCAATCTAGCCTGATCCAACTTCTCTTGAGATCCTATAAACACTTTAATAGGTTCCCTTAAGCCATCATATAACAAATGTTACTTGCCCTTCCTCCATATCAGCTAGAGAACCTGCTAACAACAGGCTAGCACAATAAGCCATAACTGACTCTCCCTTCTCCTGATGAATCAGCGAAACTGCCTTTCTTAACTCAGCAGGGGTTAAGAAATAGCGAGTGATCCTCCGTACTGCAGCCTCTCTGTCCTCTCGATTTGACTCCATTTCAAGCTCTGCTAACACTGCAGCCATTCAGCCATGTTTAAGTCATGTCAAGTTATGCTGTGATGTTCCCCTCTGGTGTTATCAGGACCGGTGATCTGCTAGGTCACTCCTATCCTTGACTCTGGGAGCCAGCCTTACCATGCTCTGCTGTGAGAGCCCCCACTCCTGGGCTGTTCTCAAACAGCCTCTGGCATGTCAGCTGCTCCCAGCTACTTGCAACCGAATGACACTAGCCAATATCTCCGGTCCCAGAACCAACCCTTGGAACCTCCGTCTTGCAGTGTCCAGTTATGCCCGCTGGACACTGCAAGCTTATAGGAGTTCATCAGTTTAACAAAGAAATTTATATGCACCAGGCTTGTTCTCCCAAGGAGAGCCTCTGACACACTTCAAACCAAACGCTCTGCTTCAGGTCAAATAAACAAACAGATCCATTAACTATAAAAGATAGATTTTAAGTGATTATAAGTCAAGGCACAACAAGTTGGATTTGGTCAAATGAAATAAAAGCAAAATGCGTTCTGAGCTGATTTTAACACTTGCAGTGCCCTTACAAGCTTAGATGCTTCTCATCATAGGCTGGTTGCTCTTCAGCCAGGCTCTCCCCTTTGATCAGTGTTTGAGTCGCTTGGTGGTGATGTCTGTAGATGGAGGTGGAAGAGAGAGAGAGAGCATGGGAAACGTCCCTTTTATCATGTTCTTTCTTTCCTCTTGGCTTTGCCCCCTCCCCCTTCAGGGCCAGGTGAGCATTACCTCATCCCAGTCCCAAACTGACCAAAGGAAGGGGGTGACTCACTCCAGATCCAAACAGATCCTTTGTTGTTGTCGAGGCCAGTGTCCTTTGTTCCTGTGAGGCTGGGCTGGGTTTGTCCCATACATGCCCGGATGAAGTGTGAACTACCCCTCTTCCTGGAGAGTTTTGCCTGGGCTTGTTTTAAGACAGGAGGGCACATTTTCAGCCTCATAACTATGTACATGAAATTACAAGCTATAACATCACTATCACAACAATGCTCAGTGCATCATGAGCCTTCTGAAGACACCCACCATGGCAAACTTTGCACTGGATACCACACAATCATATTATAAGGATGAACATAGGGGTGCAGGGTGTTCCCCCGAGATACAGAGTGTCACATATGCTCACACCGTTCATTCAGTATGGCCACACTAATGTGGCACCATCCCAACATCCCAGACAGGCCATAGAGGGGGAAGGGGATGTGAGATGGATGGCAAGGTACGGGAGGGGCCTTTCCCAGCTCCAAGAGGGGCTCCTGGCTCTCCTGGTTCCCCACTGTGTTCTTGTTTGCATCTGTCCCATGGCCTGTTAAAGGTCAGAATTCAATTGCTAGCCTTGAACATAGCCCCCTGCCAGTGAGTCAGCCCTGGGATCACGTGTGAGCATGGGAAGCCAGTGCCTGTGCCGGGAAGGAGGGAACTGGGGCTGTGTTCTCTGTCTTCCCTCTGAGAGCAACCAAGCTGCCTTGCTGTGCGTTAACCACGCTGCCTGGTGCTCTGCGGCCGGGACGGCTCCTCCAGGTCTGGGGGCAATTACTGACCATAGTGGAGAGATGCAGAGTAGGGACTTTTCTGCTGTTCCTTTACCACCCTCCCCACTCAACGGCAGCGGTATAGCAACCCGCAGCTGCACCGAGAGCATGCTGGGAGTGCGGCCTCCCTGGGGTCCCTGTCCCCAAGTCCTGCGGGCCATGCCCCAGCCAGCATTCCCACAGGGTCGGTCTGAGAGGGCATCGGGCAACAACCTGCCCTTGGCTCAGGCCTGGGTGCTGCTGACCCAGGAAGCAATCCCCCCTCCCCTGCAGCGTGTGGCCCTGAGCATGTCTTGCTCAGCTAACTACCGAGTTCTCAAGACGCACCCAAGTTTCCTAGAGAAGAGGCTGGCGCTGGCCTGTCTCATTGGACTAACCTCCATGTTCTGTTTTGATAAAGGGCACTTAAAACAGTCTAAACAAACAGCCTTGGGGAAATCCAGCAGTCTGGAGGAATACAAACACAGTGAGTACATAAAACTGCCTGGCCCTCACAGGCCGTCCCCCAGCAAAGGCCCTCCTCCTTGTCTCCAGGGTGCAGTTGTTGTTACTGGTATGGTGCAGGAGAGCCCGGCTGCTGCTGGCTGATAAGACATCCTGTGTATGCTGTAGCTGGGGTTTCCGTTGCGGGCTGCACTGAACGATCCACCCACCCATAATTTCCAGTGCAACGAAAGGTGCTTCAGAGACTGGTCCACAGAGACATGTCCCAGGGCTGGAAAGAGCTCTCCATGATCAGGCAGCGCTGCTGAAAGGTGCGAAGGCAGGGAGAAGGCCCCAGGCAGAAGCAAAGAGCCAGTCTCCAGCCCTGCAGAGTCTTGCGAACCAAGAGGCTGGCGGGAAGGCTGAGAAGTGGGTGAGGCTGGGGGGATGTGGGATGGAAGCTAACAGAAGGGAGGGGGCTGGGTTGGAGGTGGCTAGGCAGCCAGTGAGATGGTCCATGGCTGGGTGGGTCGGTGGACAGGAAGCCACATCTTGCATAGCATGGAGTTCTCATTGCAGATTCCTAGAAACGGTCTCTCCCCCTTCCCCCTTTCTGTGCCGCCCTCTCCTGGGATCCTTTCCAGTCTGGACAGAGCTGTCCGCTCCACGTCCCATCCCCCTGATCTCTCTCCAAAGGGCTCTCTGCTGGCAGAGCTGACTTGCTTCAGCCTCAACACTGCCTGGGGTCCTGGAGAGGTACGAGCGGAGCGGTACGAGGTGGGGGGGAGATGAGGGATCCAGAGGTGGCGCTCAGGGCTGTGTGCACGAAGAGGCCCACCATGGGGGTGGACAGCGGCTGAGCCAGGTTCATGTCTCTGCACCTGATCCACAGCTTCCGTGGGGCCACGAGAACGGCTGCGTTGCCCAGATCCTGCTCCGGCACCTACTGGTGCCTCTGTGCCAGCCATGATCTGCTGTGCCCTGCGCTGGGCTCTGCTGGGTGCTGTGACCCTGGAGTTTCTGTACCAAGCCAGGACCTACTACAGCCAGGGGAGCTTCCCAAGTTTCTTCTACAGGTAAAGACCAACCATGCACTCTGTTCTTGGAGGGCTCTAGCCGCTAGGAAGGCGACACAGTCCCTGCCGTGGATCTCCTGTAGCTCAGCATGTGGACACCAGCGATGGGAGCAGCAGAAATGTGAGGCTAGGGAGCCGCGTTCTGCTGATCTGGGGGGATTTCCCTGCCTTGGGGGCTCTGCCAAGCTGCCCCTGCCAGTGGTGGCATCTTGCCCTCGCTCACATCTTTGTGCCAATATTGTGCCCTTGGAACTTTCTGAACGGCAGGTGGATAATGATGAGCAAACCCGGGGGGACCCCCCCCCCAGTGACTTTCCCTCTACCCCTCTGGCTGCGTCGGTGTGGGGGCCGCCTGGGCCAGAGGAGCAGGGTGACGGGCTCTGGGGCGCTGGCTGTGAGGCGGTGCCGCAGGCCAGGGGATTTTTGCTTTTGAAGCAAACCAACCCCCGGCTCCTTTGTGTGCATTCGCTCACTGCCCTGAATGGCAGCTGGGGATGAAGCGTTTGCAGGGCGGGGGCTGCTGCGATGCAGGAACTTGAGATCCTGGGTGCCCAGCACCTTCCCACTCAGAATCCCAGCTCCCTACGCCAAGGGGAGCGAGGGTCCTGGCCGGGAGGGTTCACGGGCCCCTGCTCCCCCTTCTGTCTGCCCTACAGAGCTGGATGCGATCCCGACTCCCCTGGCCTGCCTGTGCCCCTCCCCTCAGCTGGGCTGCTGCCCTGCCGCCGCTGGATTAGTACTGGTGTCTGTCCTGATCTCTCATCCTCCCCTCTCAGGCATGGCTGGGCTCAGGGGATCAGTCACAGGATAGGGAGCTTTGCTTGTCTACTTGGGGGAGGGCTGGGCTGCTGGTGCTGGCCCTCCCACCTGTGTGCGCTCCGGGGTGGGGAGCTGTTCCCCCCTGCTCTGTGTGTCAGGGTCTTCACGCACCAATCCAGCACCACAGGGGGTCAGGTCTATTCCCACACAGCCCAGGGAGGGTGCAGGGTTCTGGTCTGTGCAACTTCAGGGCTTTAACCTTTGAGGTGACCACACTCCCATGCCTGGGGGCAGAGCTGATGTGCAGGAATGGGGGAAGAAACAGGGGCAGAGCCTCCTTTAATGCCCTATTTCTTCCTGCGTAGCTGCCTTCATGTGGCACCGCTGGCCGTCACTTCCACAGGTGCCGTCCTGTAACTAGCCACGGTGGGCAAAGTCCCTAGCTACAGGGGCCAACCATGCAGCCTGAAGCAGCAGGGCCCCGCGCCCCCTGGGGGATCCTCCCCCAGATCGGGTCTGATGGACAGACACCTTGCCAGGCCAAGAGGGAACGCACTGTGAAACTGCTCTCTTCTCTGCCCCCTGCCCCACAGGGATCCTGTCGGAGCTCGCCAGCCCAGAGCCGGACCCATGACAGTGCAGACACCGGTGACCCCACTGGGCAGTAGGGCCCCCACCTCCACACTGCAGCTGTTCTTGGGGGACCTGTATGGCCGGGACAAGACGTACCAGGGCTCGGTATGCACCACCCGCTCCCTTGTGGGGGTGAAGCCTGGGGGCTCCAGGCCTTGGATTTGTTCCTGGAGGGAGAAGCGTCACTCTGTGGTCATGCACAGGAGGGTTGTGCAGTGCCAGTGAGGACAATGTCTGGCTCCTGCTGCCCTGCTCCCGTTGTCCCCCTTGGCGTCCTCTCATCCTGCAGCTCCAAGGGGCCAGAAGGGGCCAGCCTGAGCTCCCCTGTGTGGCTGTGTGACGAAGTGGGACTGTTCTTAATGTTTCCTCTGAATAGTGTGGGGGTGCCTCAGTTTCCCCTAGGCAGTTCTTAAGTATCTAGGGGGTGGGGTAAGGGTGTATGATCATTGCAGAGCCCTAGAGGGCAGGTGTGTGCAGGAGTCTGGACACAGAGAATGGCCGACACCCTGTTTCCTGGCAACTGATGGCCTGGGCCCTTCCCCCCTGCAAGGTGAGAGCTAAAGGGTTGGAGAACAAAGGAATCAGGTGACCTCCTGGCCCGGGAAAGGAACAAAGCCCAGAGGAGGAGGGGCTGGAGGGGGTTTTCAGTTTGGGGCTGGCTGGGACATGGAGTGAAGTGCAGACGTGGTTGTCTGGCTCACTGCCCCCCAAAATGGACCCAGCTGAGGGGTCCCATTCTCTGCACCTGCAAGCTCTGTTTTAGACCATGTTCCTGTCGTCTAATAAACCTTCTGTTTTACTGGCTGGCTGAGAGTCACGTCTGACTGCGAAGTTGGGGTGCAGGACCCTCTGGCTTCCCCAGGAGCCCCGCCTGAGCGGACTCGCTGTGGGAAGCGCACGGAGGGGCAGAGGATGCTGAATGCTCCGAGGTCAGACCCAGGAAGGTGGAAGCTGAGTGAGCTGCGTGTCCTGAAGACAGGCTGCTCACAGAAATGCGACTACCCCAGAGTCCTGACTGACTTCATGGGGAGCAGTTCCAGAGCATCGCCCAGGGACTCCGTGACAACTGGTGGCAGAGGTGGGATGTACTGCACCCCGTGGATGGCGCTTCCTGCAGTAAGTGACTGGGGAGCAGTAACACGAAGGGGGATTGCCGAGGACCAGGCCTGCTGAAGGCTCAGAAAGGAGCGGTTTCGGGGGGCGGTTAACCCCTGGGAGTGTGTGACCAGTGAGAGGGACTGTGCAGTAATGGGGTCCCCCTGGGGACTGCAGTGAGCAGTCTCAGGGGCGGAGGAGTCTGCAGCTCGACCCTGGCAAAGAGGTGGTGACCTCGAGAAGGGCTGGCACACTAGGGGTTCTCCCTGGAAACCGTGGGGAGCTGAGAACACACGGGCCTGTGAGTCCACAACAACTTGGGAGGAGCGGAGTGATGGCCTGTCACCGTCTCCTTAAGAAGGACATTGTAACCCTGTGCAAAAAGAGAGGGTTGAGCATTGGAAAGTTCACCAAAGCAGAGTTAATCGTGCAGCTGGAGGAGGATGACCGCTCTAAGGAACAGATTCCTGACCCCAACTGGGGCTATAGCAGGATCTGGGAGCAGCTGGAGCGGGAGCCAGGCATCGCCAAGACTCCTGTCCCCGACCAGACGGGGGTCTTCACGATCGGGTTCCCCATCGGGGGGATCGAGACGGACGGGATTGGAGCTGAGTCTGAGAGAGCAAGAGGACCGTGGGAGACAGCGAGAGCCCAGCGAGAGCCCGAGAAAGAGCTGCAGAAGCAGCAGCAGCATGAACTGGGGGTGGTGGGGCGGAGAGGCCTAGGGGACCTCCCCGGGGTGAGTGGGGATAGATCCCGGGGGGCCAGTTCCGCAGGGAACCTCGAGACTAAATTGCTGCCCCTGGTTAAGGAGGGGGGGGTGTGGATGCCACCTCACTGCCTTTGAGCAGGCTGGAGATTTGAACCAGGGGGACCCTGCGGAAAAGCCCCGGTGTCTAGCTCCCTTGCTGGGTCCCAAGGCCATAGACTCCGTCAGCCAGATGGTTGGGGATGTGCACAGGCTCCCACTCCTGACCCCAACCTATATGTCTGTGTGGAGTTTCCTGGGGCCAGGCCCCTCGGACCTCCAGTGGGAGCAGAAGGTGATGGTCAATGGGGAGACATTCTTGGGGTGGCCAAAGGGCATGGGCTGCATAAACCTTCCCACATGCAGCCTGCGAGTGCTATCGACCCCCCCTGACCTAAGGGAGGGTGTGAAACTGGAAGGGCCTGGTGTAACTCCTACCAAGGAATGGGAGAGATGCTGGGGCATCCATGGGAAGGTTGGTGGCTTCGAACTTCCCCAGGTCACCGGCTAAAGTGACCCCGCTCAGTTCGATCTCGAAGGGGGGAGAGATGTGACGAAGTGGGACTGTTCTTAATGTTTCCTCTGAATAGTGTGGGGGTGCCTCAGTTTCCCCTAGGCAGTTCTTAAGTATCTAGGGGGTGGGGTAAGGGTGTATGATCATTGCAGAGCCCTAGAGGGCAGGTGTGTGCAGGAGTCTGGACACAGAGAATGGCCGACACCCTGTTTCCTGGCAACTGATGGCCTGGGCCCTTCCCCCCTGCAAGGTGAGAGCTAAAGGGTTGGAGAACAAAGGAATCAGGTGACCTCCTGGCCCGGGAAAGGAACAAAGCCCAGAGGAGGAGGGGCTGGAGGGGGTTTTCAGTTTGGGGCTGGCTGGGACATGGAGTGAAGTGCAGACGTGGTTGTCTGGCTCACTGCCCCCCAAAATGGACCCAGCTGAGGGGTCCCATTCTCTGCACCTGCAAGCTCTGTTTTAGACCATGTTCCTGTCGTCTAATAAACCTTCTGTTTTACTGGCTGGCTGAGAGTCACGTCTGACTGCGAAGTTGGGGTGCAGGACCCTCTGGCTTCCCCAGGAGCCCCGCCTGAGCGGACTCGCTGTGGGAAGCGCACGGAGGGGCAGAGGATGCTGAATGCTCCGAGGTCAGACCCAGGAAGGTGGAAGCTGAGTGAGCTGCGTGTCCTGAAGACAGGCTGCTCACAGAAATGCGACTACCCCAGAGTCCTGACTGACTTCATGGGGAGCAGTTCCAGAGCATCGCCCAGGGACTCCGTGACAGGCTGCTCAGACCAGGGACCTCCTGGTTGTGTCTAGCGCTGGCCTCGAGCTGGGCTCATACAAAGACTCCCACCCCCCCCACCCCCGGGCAACATTGCCTCCTTTCCTGGTAGGCTCCCCCTTGCCCAGCTCCTGGCGTGGCTGCCTGGCTCTTCCTCATCCCCCGCTCTCGGGTTTTGCTTTGCCAGAGGTGCCCCAGTGGCATCAGGAAGAGGATCGCGGGCACCAAGTTCAGCAGCATCTTCCTGGAGGCCATTCCAGTGCTGCAGTGGGCCCAGCATGCCTGGACAGCTGAGTATCAACGCCTGCAGAGCTACGGGGGGGCCCACGGCTGGCAGGATGTCGGCTGGCCTGGTGAGAGCTCGCCCACAGCTCGTGGTGGGGTGTGAGGGGCGCACGGGGCCACGGGGGGAGCTGTCTGTCGCCCTGAGAGCCGAGCACTGGCCTCTTGCTCCCAGGAAGGCTGGGGCCTGGCGCTGCCCTGTGGAGGCGACGCTGGGTAGCGCCTGGAGCATGTCAGCTGGGCACCCTGCTATGACACACGCTGGAGTTCCCCTTCTGCCCCCGTGGCTGGAGGTGAAGCCTGCCATGTGCCAGGCACGTTGCCTGCACCCTGCCCCCGGCTCATCTCCCCGCCCTGGTTTGTGGTTCCAGTTGTGAGGGACACGCTGACCCGTCTCAACGCGTCGGCCAACGGGCGCATGTTCGACGCCCGCCCCGGAGCTGCTGCAGGCGGCTCCCCCTGCGTCCGCTGCGCCGTGGTGGGCAACAGCGGCATCCTGAACGGCTCCCGGGCAGGGGCTGCGATTGACCAGCACGACTATGTCTTCAGGTGAGAGCTTGCCAGGGGGCTGGGCAGCGTGGTGGGGAGGGGGGTCGTACCTGCCCCAGGTGAGAGCTCGCTGGGGGGGCTGGCTGGGCAGCGCAGTGGCGGGGTTCGTATCTGCCCCAGGTGAGAGCTCGCTGGGGGGCTGGCTGGGCAGCGCAGTGGGAGGGGTTCGTATCTGCCCCAGGTGAGAGGTCGCTGGGGGGCTGGCTGGGCAGCGCAGTGGCGGGGTTCGTATCTGCCCCAGGTGAGAGCTCGCTGGGGGGCTGGCTGGGCAGCGCAGTGGGAGGGGTTCGTATCTGCCCCAGGTGAGAGCTCGCTGGGGGGCTGGCTGGGCAGCGCAGTGGGAGGGGTTGTACCTGCCCAGGTGGGAGCTCGCTGGGGGGCTGGCTGGGCAGCGGGGGGGGTCCTACCTTCCCTAGGTGAGAGTTCGCTGCTCTTCAGGATGGACTGACTCTCCCCTCCCCTCCTCGCAGGACCAACGCGGCCCTCACCAAGGGCTTCGAAAGAGACGTGGGCCGCAGGACTTCCTTTTACATCTTCTCCACTAACACCATGATGAACTCGCTGCATAACTACGCCAGCAACGGTTTCCGCCAGTTGCCCCAGACTCCGGTGAGGGGACGCGCCTACCCCTGGCCATCACATGCTGATGACGCTGGCGAGAGCCCGGGTGTCTGAGGATCATGAGTGGGGAGGCAGTGTGGCCTAATGGATGGAGCACTGGACTGGGACTCAGGAGTCGGGGGTTCTATTCCTGCTCCAGCCACTGAGCTACTGTGTGACCTCTCTCCCTGTGCCTCAGTTTACCCATCTGCACAATGGGGAGAATGATCCTGACCTGCTTTGTAATGTGTTGTGAGATCTACAGATGAACATTGCAAAATTATTAATTTTATCATCTCACACACCGCTGTACTGATGCCCTGCACTCCCACCCCACAGCCCTTCAGCTAGTCCAACCCTGGGCTCCCCGCACAGCTCTGCTGATGCACTTCAATATTAGCCCTGTTGTGGGGCCGGTCCTGAGCCCAGGCTGCCAGGAGTACTGAATGGCAGAAGCCAGCTCAATGCCAGGGGTGACTCTGGGCTCTTCTAGCCCCGGGCTGAGCACGGCTGCCTTGTCACCCCCCCAGGTCAGGCAGCAGCAAACGAGGAGCCTAGCTGAGGGCTCCATAGGGAGGGGAAGGCAGTGCTGGGCCAGGGGCCAAGGCAGCGTTAATCGCCGTATTCATTGCAACAGGAAACCAAGTACATCTTCCTCCCGGACCACGACCGAGATTACCTGCTGCTCCAGGCAGCCCTGACTAATCGCCCTGTCAACAGCGGCCCAGATGAGGGTGCTCGGTGAGTCCCGGGGCAGGGAGGTGGGTCCATGGTTTGCTTGGTTCCTGTGCTGCCCCAGGTCCATGATAATACACTCCAGGAGGTCTGAGCACCCACTGCCCACCACACGAGGGGAGCCGGGTGCCCCCAATTCATGTAATGCTTGGGAAGTGGGGGCCAGGTCCCATGAGGCACTGGCAAGGGGGCAGTGTCTGTTATGGGGGTCACTGATGGGGGAGGTGGGAGCCCCCGACTCTGCTTGCCCAGCATTTCGGAGCCTCTGCTCTCTGCCAGGTGCAGGACCAAGCTTCCCTGCCCCTGGTGCCCCGGGGTCCGGTCGCTATCCACAGGAACAGCAGCCTGCTCTGACGCTGCCGTGGTTCAGCAAAGGGGCAGCAGGAGCCCCAGCCGAGCCCGCTCCTTGGTCATAAGGCGCGAATGGCTCTGGGTCTCTGTGAATGTCTGCGGAGCCGGGGGCGGGGAGGATGCTGAGCTGGGCAGGCCATTGCTCTGCTCCGACCCTGCAGCTTGGACAGGCTGAGGACATGCCCATGGGGAGTCCCTTCGGGCCGGGTGGATTCTCACACCCGCTTTCGTCTTCTCCCCACAGGCCGGAGCGATACTTTGGGAAAGACCTGCGGGCGGAGAAGTTTAAGATGTTTCACCCAGATTTTATCCGCTACGTCAGGAACCGGTAATGATCCTGTGTCGGAGCCTCTGGCTGCAAGCGCTTCCCGGGGCCCTGCACTGCCATGGCGGGAGGGCTGGATGGATTCAGGGCCCCGCAGCCCCCAGAGCCCTCAAGCGGTGCAGAGACAGAGCCTTCACCCCTGGGGAGGCAGAGAGAGAGCCCCTGTGCTCCAGCTGATCTGAAGGGCCTGTGTGGCTGGCTCCCAGAGGAGCCATCGGCCAGAAGACAGGTAACTGCAGTGGCGGGATCCTCTGGCCCAGCTCCCTTGGCGGGATGTCCCAGGTGGGGTGCTCCTCTGGGTGAAGGCACGGTCCCCACCGTCCGCTGTAGTCGCAGCAATGATGGTCTCTTCCCTCTTCTCTCCTACCTGGTAGGTTCCTCCGCTCCAGCATTTTGGACACCCCGCTGCGGAGGCTGTACCGTCCCTCCACCGGGGCAGTGATGCTGTTGGCTGCCCTCCACACCTGCGATGAGGTAGGGCCGGCTACTAACCTGTTCTGGCCACTCTGCCCTGACCACAAGGCAGAAGCTGCCATCTGCTGGTCCCAGGGCACACTGCCAGCCTTAGGATGGGAGGGACTTGGGTCATTTCCTTGCATCCCCAGCCCCTGCGGTGGACTCCTTGAGGGACAGCATCCCGTCTGTGCTGCGCCGGCTGCTTCCACCGCTGCAAGCCGCGCTCCCTGCAGCCTCGCTCTGGAGCCTGCAGGTCTAGCCCATGTGCCTTGCTGGGCACCCCTGTGTTCCTTGGGCTGCGCTCTTTGTCCCGCTGCGGTCCGTGCCCGCTGGTGGATGCGCTGCGTGGGCACGGTGCGTCAGCCCTGCTCAGAGCTATTTCCCTCGTCTCTGTGGTGATAGCTCTGCCCCCGCGGGTGGCACTCACGGTCCCCGGGTCCGGCCATGCAGCACTAGGGGGTGGCGCATCGCTCCTGCAGGGCTCCTGCCCTGCTCACTTAGCTGGGAGCTGCAGGAGAGTTTTATCTGCACATCCCCAGTGGGTGCAACAATCTGCCCCCCCCACCACTCCCAGGAGCTGGCAAGACCCTCATGAGGGTGACCTCTGCGCCCTCCCCCCACCCCGCGCACACACACATGGGAGCGGGTCAGGTGAGGCCCATACACCGCAAGCAGCAGGTTCCCTGATCAGGTTCTGCTCCACATCTCCCGTTAGAGGGCTGAGGGGTCGGGCATTGTTTTGGCCCCTCCCCAAGTGGGATCTTAGGCAGGGTCTGTGCCTGGCTGCTCAGAGCTCCTGGCAGGGTCTGGCTAACTCCTCCCCCTCTCCCAGGTGAGCGCCTACGGGTTCATTACCTCCAACTACACGGCCTACTCCGACCACTACTTTGACCGGACGCAAAAGGCCCTGCTGTTCTACGCCAACCACGACCTGTGGCTGGAGATGGGGCTGTGGCAGAAGCTGCACCAGAGCCGGCTCATCACGCTGTACACGAGAGGCTGAAGGTTGGGACCATGCTGGGCCTGGACCCCTCTGCGGGGCAGAGCGAAGGGACTGACGCGCCAGCTTAGGCCGGCACCTGCCGGGTGGGGCACTGGAAACAAACTGTCTGTCAAGCGTGAAGCTGGGTCCTAGACCTCGGAGAAGGAAAAGCCCCATTGGACTGTCCAGCCTGTCACCCCTAGTTGCTTGGGGAAGGGTCCTCCTGCACTGGGCAACGCTGCCCACAGCCGCCTGCCAGCCCCCAGCGGTTCCTGCCCAGAGCGGAGTCGTCACCTGACTGGCTGCCCTTGGAACAAATCCAGGCTGCTGCTTTCTGGTGGGGGGAGGCGAATGGGGCTGAATGCAGCTGCGGGGGCTGCATAGCTTGCAGAACAGCTCACGAGAAGGAGAGCCTTTCGCTGGGACTGAACTGGTGCCGTGAGCAGGCCTCTGGGCTGGAACGCTGCTTGCTGGGTCTCCAAGTGTCCCTCCCTGCGGCTGCTGCTGCTGAGAATTGCCTACTACAGGAGAGTGCCTGGCCCCACCGGCAGGGAGCCCTGGCATTCGAACTCCCTGGCCTGAATAACCGGGGAATGGGGGAGATAGGGCTGTGCTAAGTCCCATTACAAAGCAGGGTGACACCTCTGGCTCCTGGATTGTCTGTCCCCAAATTTCAGCCAGCATTGGGACTTTGTCTAGCCTCTGGGGCCGCTCGAGGGGAGAGATCCCAGCACTCCAGCAGCTGGGGTGTGGCATGAGTCCCTGCTGCTATACAGAGAGCGTCCCTCTTGGAGCCAGAACTCTGGATGGCCATTAGTCCTTTGTCTAACCAATAGCCCCCCTTCTCCCCCAGCGAGCCCCATCCTGAACCACCAAAGAAAGGTCCTCTACCCACTGTGACGAAGTGGGACTGTTCTTAATGTTTCCTCTCAATAGTGTGGGGGTGCCTCAGTTTCCCCTAGGCAGTTCTTAAGTATATAGGGGATGGAGTAAGGGTGTATGATCATTGCAGAGCCCTAGAGGGCAGGTGTGTGCAGGGGTCTGGACACAGGGAATGGCCAACACCCTGTTTCCTGGCAACTGATGGCCTGGCCCTTCCCCGCTGCAAGGTGAGAGCTAAAGGGTTGGAGAACAAAGAGATCAGGTGCCCTCCTGGCCCGGGACAGGGACAAAGCCCAGAGGTGAAGGGGGCTGGAGGGAGTTTGTTTGAGGTTGGCTGGGGTCATGGAGTGAAGTACAGACGTGGTTGTCTGGCTCACTGCCCCCCAAAATGGACCCAGCTGAGGGGTCCGGTTCTCTACACCTACAAGCTCTGTGTTAGACCATGTTCCTGTCGTCTAATAAACCTCTGTTTTACTGGCTGGCTGAGAGTCACGTCTGACTACGGAGTTGCGGGGCAGGACCCTCTGGCTTCCCCAGGACCCAGCCTGGGCGGACTCGCTGGGCGAAGTGCACGGAGGGGCAGAGGATGCTGAATGCTCCGAGGTCAGACCCAGGAAGATGGAAGCCGTGTGAGCTGTGTGTCCTGCAGACAGGCTGCTCACAGAAAGGAGACTTCCCCAGAGTCCTGCCTGGCTTCGTAGGGAGCAGTTCCAGAGCATCGCCCAGGGACTCCATGACACCCACCTAAAAGGAAGGGCAGTCTGAGAGCCAGGGATGTTCCAACTCAGGAGAATTGGCTAGGTGCCGTTCCTTCTGTGCCTCAGTTTCCCCATCTGTAAAATGGGAGTGGGCACTGTTCGTTAACAATGGACTCTGCTCCCCTCTGGCAGCAGGGCGGGGCTGGCACTGCTAGCTCACAGCTGGGCACCGGGCTGGGCTACACAGCTGGGAACAGAGCCTTCGCCCACCCTCCCTTTCTGACAGGACTGAGCTGCCCTGGCGTCCGCGGGGCAGAGCCAGGCTGCACCAGCTGCCCTTTGTTTCAGCAGCATTAATCAGAGCTAACTCCCCTAGTGCACCCTGGATGCTGCAGGCTCTAAATCAGTAAATCATGTGAAATCTGGCGTGGGGGTGGGGGAAAAACAAGTCCCATCCTGCTGGGAGTCAGCCCTTGCATGGCCAAGGAAACAATCCCAGGGCACCTGCCCCTCCTCACCCCGGTGCTCTGTGCTCCCCCCCAGCACCCTGTGCTCCCCCCCCAGCACCCTGTGCTCCTCCCCCCAACCCTGGGGCTCTGTGCTCCCGCCCGGCACTCTCTACCGGCTCTGGAGACACAGCCCCAGGTGCTGCTGAGCTCCATGCACAGAGGGGAAGGGCAGGCTGCCAGGGCACAGGAAGGTCCTGGCAGGTGTCTCAGACCCAGCCCTATTGCACCCGAGAGGTAACTCTCGGTTGCCGGGAATGGAACCCAGGCATCCTGCCCCCTCGTACCAGTGGCTGGCCGTGCACTGACACACAGTACCTGTAGCTTGCCTAGCGCTTTAAAGCCTCTCCCTTCAGGGGGAAGAGTTCTGCTTTGTTTCACTTGGGCATCTACAATCCCAGGGCCAGATTCCCAGCTGCTGTGAACAGCTCCCTGGATGGGACAGGTTTCAGAGGAACAGCCGTGTTAGTCTGTATTCGCAAAAAGAAAAGGAGTACTTGTGGCACCTTAGAGACTAACCAATTTATTTGAGCATGAGCTTTCGTGAGCTACAGCTCACTTCATCAGATGCATACCGTGGAAACTGCAGCAGACTTTATATACACACAGAGAATATGAAACAATACCTCCTCCCACCACACTGTCCTGCTGGTAATAGCTTATCTAAAGTGATCAACAGGTGGGCCATTTCCAGCACAAATCCAGGTTTTCTCACCCTCCACCCCCCACACAAATTCACTCTCCTGCTGGTGCTAGCCCATCCAAAGTGACAACTCTTTACATAATCAAGTCGGGCTATTTCCTGCATAGATCCAGGTTTTCTCACATCCCCCCCACCCCCATACACACACAAACTCACTCTCCTGCTGGCAATAGCTCATCTAAACTGACCACTCTCCAAGTTTAAATCCAAGTTAAACCAGAACATCGGGGGGGGGGGGATGGTAGGAAAAAACAAGAGGAAACAGGCTACCTTGCATAATGACTTAGCCACTCCCAGTCTCTATTTAAGCCTAAATTAATAGTATCCAATTTGCAAATGAATTCCAATTCAGCAGTTTCTCGCTGGAGTCTGGATTTGAAGTTTTTGTGTTTTAAGATAGCGACCTTCATGTCTGTGATTGCGTGACCAGAGAGATTGAAGTGTTCTCCGACTGGTTTATGAATGTTATAATTCTTGACATCTGATTTGTGTCCATTTATTCTTTTACGTAGAGACTGTCCAGTTTGACCAATGTACATGGCAGAGGGGCATTGCTGGCACATGATGGCATATATCACATTGGTGGATGTGCAGGTGAACGAGCCTCTGATAGTGTGGCTGATGTTATTAGGCCCTGTGATGGTGTCCCCTGAATAGATATGTGGGCACAATTGGCAACGGGCTTTGTTGCAAGGATAAGTTCCTGGGTTAGTGGTTCTGTTGTGTGGTATGTGGTTGTTGGTGAGTATTTGCTTCAGGTTGCGGGGCTGTCTGTAGGCAAGGACTGGCCTGTCTCCCAAGACTTGTGAGAGTGTTGGGTCATCCTTTAGGATAGGTTGTAGATCCTTAATAATGCGTTGGAGGGGTTTTAGTTGGGGGCTGAAGGTGACCGCTAGTGGCGTTCTGTTATTTTCTTTGTTAGGCCTGTCCTGTAGTAGGTAACTTCTGGGAACTCTTCTGGCTCTATCAATCTGTTTCTTTACTTCTGCAGGTGGACAGCGGCTCAGGCCCCAGCCGTCCCTCATTCTCTTTGCATCATTTTTTAAATGCGACTTGCACTGTAGCAAGATCATTGCACCACAAGGCAGCATGATGTGATCTCCACCTGCTCCAAGCCAGCCGGACCCAGCCAGTCCTGGCACCAGCTTGGGGGTTCTAGGTACAGGTTCCCTTCTCAGGTTGGGGCCTCCAGATCAGTGTGGAATGGGCCAGAAGTCCTGCAACCCCACCCAGCCCTGCTAGCTCAGCTGCGCTCTCGGCGGCTTGCTCAGGAAGACCACGGCTGTGGGCACAATGTAGTCGCATGGCTGATGCTGAGGTAGTTTTGGGCTGTAGGCTCAGCTCTGCCTTTTCATTGCAGCATCTCACCGTCCCGTGAGCCGCAGTGTTGGCTAACTTCTAGGCCGATGCCCAGTTCAGACGTGAATAAATCGTCTATGTTATACAATAGATTCTGGAGCTTTATGTTGGCTGGCTGCCTGGGATCCTCGGTGGAGATGGAGTCTGTTATCCCACCTGAATTGGAGGGCCGTGAGCCAGCTGTCTGTAGGGCTCCCCGGTCTGGTTTGCAGGCAGTAGCCCAGGCCCCTGGCAGGGAGGGAGCGGGGGGCTGGCTGCCCATTCACTCCTCACCCGCAGGTCTCCTATTCCCTTTGATGGGAGTCGTGTGCACGGAAAGGCAGCCATGTCTATCCTGCTAAAACGGGGCCAAGTGCTTCCTTGGGCCGTTTCCCTGGAGGGAGCCAGGCGTCGGTTAGTCTTTCCTGCGCTGACCCCCGCTCCCGTCTGCTGGTGCAGGCTTGGGGCAGGGCTGCCCCTTCTGGCTGATGCAGCCTGGGGAAGGAGTGCAGCAGGGCAGAGACATTTCCCAGGTAGCAGAGCAAAGACCGATCTTCAGGCTCTGCTGTGCCCAACCACACAGCCCTTGTCCTGCTCCTGGCTCGGGGCTGGTGTGTGGGGGGCAGTGTTAGAGTGGACTCTGGGGGGCATCTCTGCAAGGCCCAGTGCAGTCAGAGCAGAGGGCCCTGGGAGGGCCTGCTTAGGCACAGGTGGAGTGGGGTGAGCACAGGACTGGGAGCCAGGAACACCTGGGCTGTAATGGCAACTCTGCCATAGCCTGGTCCAGCCCAGGGGATTTTACCTGTTTTCCCAAAGTCCCCTGCTGCAGTCGTGGCCTCCGTGGCTGTACGGGTGGGGAGAGCAGCCCTGAGCAGCCTGCCCCGTGGTTCTATCTGGCCCGAGGGGCCTGGCGCTGACGAGCCTGGGGGTGCTCCTGCCTCAGCCGAACCCCAATGTCGAGCCAGTGTACCCCAATGGCAAAGGGGGGGTGTCGCCCCCTCTGGCGGCTAACAGCCCACTACTGCTGCCAGCGAGCGGTGCTGCTCCCTGACCCCGAGCAGAAGAGGGGTGTCCTTTGGCCTGAGGTTTGCACCCCATTGGTGAGTGCTGGCCTGGCTCCTTATGCCATGTTCTTGGATATGCTGCCTCGTGTCCCCCCGGCGATGGTGTCTGGGGCCCCAGCTGTTGCATGTCAGATCCAGCCTGGTCCCCACCCCAGGAATTCTGGTTCAGAGACGGATCGCCAGCTTTGAGCTGCTGGGTCCGGCCTCGCCCAGCTCTGCTCCCATGTTCTGCATCAGGGTGAAGTTAAACTGAAGGCAAGGGCCATGGGCAGAAGCAAGGTCCTCCTCTCCACCCACAGCTCCAGAGTCAGCCAAGGCCTGGCTCCACACAGACTTTAGACTGCTCTGGCCGCATCCCAGCTGCCGTGCTCCTTGAGTTTGCCCCTGTGGGGCCCATCCCCGCTGGAGGAATGGGGCTAGAAAGGCCAGGCGACCAGCGCAGCTAGGATAAGCTTGGCCAAAGATCCCCAATTAAGGAAGCTGAAAACCAGCCTCTTGTTTAGTGGGATAATGGGAATCTCTTAGCTGGGGATTATCTGAACTGCTCCTTTGTAGAGAAGGGCCGAAGTTGACAGAGGTTTTGCGGCCTGGGCGATTGCGGCTAAATCTGGTGTCTATGCCGGGAGGGGGAGATTAGGAGCTGACCCAGCCGTATCGGCTGGAACAAGTTAGCAGGATTGGCACGGGGGGATCTTGTTGAAGCAGGCGTGAGAGTGCGGGCAGCTGGGCCCTGCGCCGTGCTCTCACTTTAAGAACTGAGTAGCCCCGGACCTGGCCCCTGTCCTGTACGGCGCACCAGGCTGGGGGTGTCAGGGGAAGGGGTGCAGCAAGTTAATCTGGACCCCTTTCACGGCAGCATTCAGGGGGTCTCCTCTTCCTCCTCTCTCCGCATCGCACCAGCACCTCCCCTGGCTCTCAGCGTCTCTCTCTGGTCCGCCCTCTCCCAGGCCAGCTGCAGCTCAGCCCCAGAACGGGCCGCGGTTGGGCTGAGCTGAGCTCATGGGGCTCTGAGAACAGGCCCAGCCCAGCGGTGCCAGGCCCTGGGACGGGTCCAGAGGGACTTTAACCCTGAGCTCTATGGCTGGTGCTGCATGCTGCGGGGAGGGGTTCACCTCAGCAGGCCAGTGGGGTTTGTGGAACCAGGCTGTATCTCCCCGTGCCAGGGGCTGGGGGCCAGGCCTCCTGGCTTCTCTCTCTGCGCCACTAACTGCGCTCTGTCCGGCCAAGCCCTCGGGCCAGCGGGAATTCCTGGCTGAGGCTACTGTGGGTACAGGGAAGGGGCCAGGCGAAAGCAGAGGGCTCGGCCGCAGACGGGATCACACGAGAGAGTCTTTATTCGGGGCAGGAAATGGCCCCGGCGGATGCGAACGGCACCAGGGCTGCAATAGAAGTGCTGAGGCTGCTCCTGCCCCCACACGGCAGGGCAGGGGCAGGGACGGGAGCCAGGCAGGACACGGCACAAGGACAGCGGCTGCAAATAGGAACTTTCTCCACCCCACCCTCCTCCAACTAGGGCAGCTGCTGCACATGGTGAACTGGCCCTTCTCCGGGCAGAGAGCAGCCAGCTGGCCCAGGCAGGGCTCTCCGGTGCTGAGCTGGGCACAGTCTGAGCGGGAGGGGAGGGGGCAGGGGGAAGGGAACGGATGCAGGAGGACCAAGGCTCGGAGCTGCTCCGGGTCTGGTTTTTCTTCTCAGTCTTTCTGCTCCTAGCCCCGGCCTGGCTGGCCCTGACGCTCTGTCGGGTTGGGAGGCCGGGGGGAGGGCGGCACCGTCTGGAATGCGCCCGCTGCTGGTCCTGTGCGTCTCAGCTGCCCCCATGTCCCCGGCAGGGGAGGTGCTGGGGAGATTAAGCTGCAATGGGGCCAGGGGGGTGGTTGTTATTTCTCAAGCCCTCCCTCCTGCCCTGGCCCAGAACTGCCTCCTACTGCTCTGGGCCTGGTATGCATCTTGCTACCCCCCCTGCTCTCCCATCCCCCCAGGCCAGGTGTGGCTGCGACCTTCCCCCTCCCTCCCCAGCCCCTTCCCCTCCAAACTGGGGTCTAGGCGACAGAACACTCAGGACAAGCACGGTGCTGCACGGGTAGCCAGCAGCGGTCTCCCCGGGGGGCTGCCCCCAAAGCAGGCGGCCTGCTGCCAGGAAGTGGGGCGCACTTTCTCCTCTGCCTCCTGCCTTACTTCTTCTTGGGGATCTTCTCCTTCTTGACCAGGTCGGAGAACTCTGCAGGAAGATGAGGGAGAGGAGCAGTGGGTGCTGGGTCAGGCCGTGTGTTTTGGGGCGAGCCGCACTTCGAGGCCGGGGAGATGGGCGGTAGGAGACCGTACACAACAGCTGGCTTCCTGCGCCTTCCAGACACCCCGGGGAGGCAGCTGGGGGCAAGCGGTGTCTCCACTGAATGTTGACACCACCCCAAACAGTGCTGCAGAGCGCAGTTCCAAAGAGGCCCCATGTTCCACCAAAAGGTGGGGGCAGGGTTAGCAGGGCTTGGATACCCCTGGGGCAAGTGCTATGGACCCCCACTCTCCCGGCCGCCAGCCAGCCCCTTACCTTGGAAATCAATCCTCCCATCCCCATCTGTGTCAGCTGCTTGGATTATAGCTTCAGCCTCCTCGTCTGATAAGGGCACCACGGGCATGGTGCTGGGCACGGTGGACAGGATGTACCTGCGGGACACGTGGCACCAGGCTCAGGAGGTGGCTGGGGCCTCAGCTGGCCTGGGACAAGGAGGGTTTCACAGTGCCAGGCGGGGCAGAGCGGCAGGTGAGGTTTGAGGGGACGGGCCAGACCCATGTAGCCCCTGCAGCATGACGATGGTGCCCAAGGCCTCTGGGGGTGCCCCAGGTGGTGTTCGATTCTCTGGGGAGTGGGGGCTTGTTGGGCTGAGAGCAGGTGGATTCGGGGCGCTGCAGGCAAGAGCTCTGGAGCCCACAGGCGCTTGGGAACGTGGGCTGAGAGGAGACAGGGCCAGCACCCAGAGCAGCTCCTGGGCCTGCTGCAGCCTGGATCCCACCCCAGAGCCAGGGGCACCGTGGCAGCACTTGGCAGCCCTGGGGAGCACAGTCCTCTGGCCGGTCAGCTACCCTGCCAAGGTGGGGCACCACAGGTGGGGGGGCAGGTGTGTGCCCTGGGAGGGAGGATGGATGTGGGCAGGGACAGGGGCTAGTGGGGGAGGGAGGGTACAAGCCTCTGGCCGTTACTTGATCTCGTTCCACTCGATGAAGCCGCTGTTGTCCTTGTCCAGGAGCTGGAAAGCTTTGCGCACCTGCTCCTGCTGCTCACTCGACGTCTGGAACTTCTGCATGTACTCGAAGAACTTGCTGTAGTTGAGGGCAGCTGTGGGCAGAGAGGGGCAGGGGACCCACACGTCAGGAAGCAGGGGGCGGGCAAGCAGGCACCTGCCCATCACAGCAAGAGACAAACCAAGAACGGGCAGCAAAGCGCTGCCCCTGCTCACTGCTGCTGGTTTCCCGCCCTGCGGTCTGGGCTGGCCCAGGGCAGGCTCAGACCAATGGCCTGGGAACCTGCTGAGCCCCTTTAACCTCTTCCCTGCCCCTTTGAATTCATTGTCCAAAAAAGGAAAGCTGGGGGACAAACCTCCCCATGCAGTGCACCCGGGGCCTGGGTCAGAGCCAGCCTCAATCCCAGGGTGGGCAGGGCCCAGTCCTGTGACCCTCCATACCGTGATGTCTCATATCCGAGGGCAGCAGGTCAATGTCCTTGTCCGTCAGGGACGTTCCCAAGGCCAGTGCCATCTTCTTGACTTGGCAGGAAAAATCCTCGGCCATCCTGTCCCCTGGCGAGGAAAGGGGAGAGCTGAGCTGAGAGCCTGGCTGGTGCTGCCGGGGGCTGCTTGTCCGCAGGAGGACGCAGGTGCGTGTGTGTGGATCGGGACGTGCATGGTCCATGCAGCGTGAGCCACCCAGAGCCGGTCCCAGCCGAGCTCCTCTCTGCCCTTCCGAGCCGGGTCAGGTGGACAAACAGCTGCTGCGAACCTGCCAGGAGCCAGGCCCAGGCCTGCTGCACTGGGGCTCGCCAGAAGCCAGGTGTTTGGTGGGACATGCCCTGAGCCCCAGCTGGTCTCCATTGTGGGCAGACCAAGAGCAGCCCTGCCTCTGCAGCGCTCTCTCCGACTCGCCCCCGAGAACGGCTCTGGCTCAGCGCGGGAGAGGGTGCTGGTGCCCTCTGAGTCCTTCCCCTGACCTGTGCGTGGAGGTGGGACGCCCTCCCCCAGGTCCCTGCCCACCACTTCCATTCTCCCGGCACCCCGCACCCGGCACGGTAAGACCATCCTGGAGACCGGCACGCGGAGGGGACTGGCGCATGGGCACTGACACCTCCTGGAGAAGCAGCGGGCGTCTAGGGAGGTGCCCCGTGGCTGTGCCTAGCGGCTAAGCCAGCCCACGGCAACAGCCTGGCGTGAGTGGAGCAGCTGAGCCGGGACGGCCTCGGACAGGGCTCCGAGCCGCAGCTCCAACTCAGCCCCCGTGCTCCCTGCTTTTGGATGCAGGGTTTCCCCGTGACAGTCACTGGGAGTCCCACGGGGAAAACCTCCCAGGGTGCTGGCATTGCCTCCCCCTTTGTCACTGTTAAATGGGGGCATGGGGGGGGGGCTCAGCTGCTGGTGAAACCTCCGCAGGGCTGGGCGCAGGCCAGGCATCTCCAGGCTGACTCAGCTGTGCTGGGTGCATGGGGGGGGCAGGGTTGTGCTGAGAATCTCTGACTCCTCCCAGGGGGAACAAAGGGGCAGGGGCGGGGGCAGGGGAAGGGGAGGGGGGGAATGTTCCATGATCTACCAGGCTGTTTCCTGCCCCTGGGATCCCAGCCGACTCCCCACCCCTGTGTTTTTGGCCTGGTGCAGAGCTGGGAACCCTCTGTCCCTGTGCAGTTTTGCACACTCACAGCGTGACCCTGGCACACTCACACCTCCAGGCAGTCTCAGTGCCTCCTGGGGGGATCTGCTGCACAGGCCTGCAGGGCCTGGGTCAGAATGAGGGCAGAGAGGGGGGATTTTTCTAGTTCTGCCTGGCCTAGCTTCGAGGCTTGTGTCCCTGCTGAGCTGCTCCGAGGGACTGGGGCAAGAAACAGCCCCTGGCTTCCCTGCAGGCCTTGTGGAGATGCTGGCTAGAGGGAGCTCAGTAAGCCCCGTGCATCGCCTCCCGTCCCCTGTGCTGACTCGCTGCCTGGCGTGGCTCCTGGAGGAATGGGGCGATTCGCCCAGGCCGCATGCTGCCTCCCGTCAGTTCTGCCAGGCTCCATGCACAGGGGCCCCTTTCATAAGGCACGTGTGTGCACCAGCGGGTGCCCGCGAGGCATTGGCTAGAACGCCTGCCCTGCAGCCGCCACAGCGGGGTTGCCTGCGGTGCCACATGAGCACCGGGCCTGGCTGACTCTGAGGCGATGGGATCCCAGCTGTGCCATGGCTGGGGGTGGCGTTTGGGCCCCTGCTCCTGGACACCAGGTTCTGTAGATGCTGCTGCTGCCGCATTCCCACGGGGGCACTGGGGCCTGGCGTTCCCGGGCTCTTTGGACACCCGTGCCCATTGCTGGGCTCGGACCTTGGCTGGCCAGGCAGATGTCTGCGGCAATAGAAGGTCTGCAGCAAGCAGGAGAGCTGGCTGTATTTCAAGGAATCCCTGTTGAGGTTACAGGGACAAACCATCCCGATGAGTCGAAAGAATAGTAAATATGGCAGGCGACCAGCTTGGCTTAATGGTGAAATCCTAGCGGATCTTAAACATAAAAAAGAAGCTTACAAGAAGTGGAAGATTGGACATATGACCAGGGAAGAGTATAAAAATATTGCTCGGGCATGTAGGAATGATATCAGGAGGGCCAAATCGCACCTGGAGCTGCAGCTAGCCAGAGATGTCAAGAGTAACAAGAAGGGTTTCTTCAGGTATGTTGGCAACAAGAAGAAAGCCAAGGAAAGTGTGGGCCCCTTACTGAATGAGGGAGGCAACCTAGTGACAGAGGATGTGGAAAAAGCTAATGTACTCAATGCTTTTTTTGCCTCTGTTTTCACTAACAAGGTCAGCTCCCAGACTGCTGCGCTGGGCATCGCAAAATGGGGAAGAGATGGCCAGCCCTCTGTGGAGATAGAGGTGGTTAGGGACTATTTAGAAAAGCTGGACGTGCACAAGTCCATGGGGCCGGACGAGTTGCATTCGAGAGTGCTGAAGGAATTGGCGGCTGTGATTGCAGAGCCATTGGCCATTATCTTTGAAAACTCGTGGCGAACGGGGGAAGTCCCGGATGACTGGAAAAAGGCTAATGTAGTGCAAATCTTTAAAAAAGGGAAGAAGGAGGATCCTGGGAACTACAGGCCAGTCAGCCTCACCTGAGTCCCTGGAAAAATCATGGAGCAGGTCCTCAAAGAATCAATCCTGAAGCACTTGCATGAGAGGAAAGTGATCAGGAACAGCCAGCATGGATTCACCAAGGGAAGGTCATGCCTGACTAATCTAATCGCCTTTTATGATGAGATTACTGGTTCTGTGGATGAAGGGAAAGCAGTGGATGTATTGTTTCTTGACTTTAGCAAAGCTTTTGACACGGTCTCCCACAGTATTCTTGTCAGCAAGTTAAGGAAGTATGGGCTGGAAGAATGCACTATAAGGTGGGTAGAAAGCTGGCTAGATTGTCGGGCTCAACGGGTAGTTATCAATGGTTCCATGTCTAGTTAGCAGCCGGTATGAAGTGGAGTGCCCCAGGGGTCGGTCCTGGGGCCGGTTTTGTTCAATATCTTCATAAATGATCTGGAGGATGGTGTGGATTGCACTCTCAGCAAATTTGCGGATGATACTAAACTGGGAGGAGTGGTAGATACGCTGGAGGGGAGGGATAGGATACAGAAGGACCTAGACAAATTGGAGGATTGGGCCAAAAGAAATCTGATGAGGTTCAATAAGGATAAGTGCAGGGTCCTGCACTTAGGACGGAAGAATCCCATGCACCGCTACAGACTAGGGACCAAATGGCTAGGCAGCAGTTCTGCGGAAAAGGACCTAGGGGTGACAGTGGACGAGAAGCTGGATATGAGTCAGCAGTGTGCCCTTGTTGCCAAGAAGGCCAATGGCATTTTGGGATGTATAAGTAGGGGCATTGCCAGCAGATCGAGGGACGTGATCGTTCCCCTCTATTCGACATTGGTGAGGCCTCATCTGGAGTACTGTGTCCAGTTTTGGGCCCCACACTTCAAGAAGGATGTGGATAAATTGGAGAGAGTCCAGCGAAGGGCAACAAAAATGATTAGGGGTCTGGAACACATGAGTTATGAGGAGAGGCTGAGGGAGCTGGGATTGTTTAGCCTGCAGAAGAGAAGAATGAGGGGGGATTTGATAGCTGCTTTCAACTACCTGAAAGGGGGTTCCAAAGAGGATGGCTCTAGACTGTTCTCAATGGTAGCAGATGACAGAACGAGGAGTAATGGTCTCAAGTTGCAGTGTGGGAGGTTTAAATTGGATATTAGGAAAAACTTTTTCACTAAGAGGGTGGTGAAACACTGGAATGCGTTACCTAGGGAGGTGGTAGAATCTCCTTCCTTAGAGTTTTTAAGGTCAGGCTTGACAAAGCCCTGGCTGGGATGATTTAACTGGGATTTGGTCCTGCTTCGAGCAGGGGGTTGGACTAGATGACCTTCTGGGGTCCCTTCCAACCCTTATATTCTATGATTCTATGATTCTGAGTGTCAGGGGGCCCAGCCAATGGGCGTCCCCCTCCCCTGGCCTGGGGGCTCACCCCAAAGCTGGCTCTGTGCCCTGGTGGTTTGGAATGGCTGAGTGCCCCGGCCCTTGCTTTCCTGGCCCCCGTCACTGACGGCTGCTGAGTTCTCCTGGCACATTGGGAGGGTTCCTTTTACTTGTGACCTTTCACAGGAAGTCGACATGGTCGGGCGCCCCCTCAGCCAGCTCGCCAGGACCCCGAGCCCCCTGCACGGCTTTCCCCAGGAGCGCAACACCCCACACAGGTCCCCTGCCCAGTTTGCTCTCAGCACAGGAATGGCCAGGGACCAGTGGGACAGTCAAACCGCCCCCTTCCCACCAAGGAGCCATTTTGTTGGCTTTGGCGTTGCCCTTCTCCCTCTGTAGCCCCGTCCAGCATGGGCTCTCGGCTCACCCTGTGGGCATTAGTTCATGGCACCTCTCAGCCTCACGCTGGGATTTCTAGCCCCCTGTTACAGCTGGGCAAACAGGGCCAGAGAGGAACGGTGCCTCGCCTACAATGGGAGCTGGAAGCAGAACCCAGGTGTCCTGCTTCCCAGCAGAAACCCCCAGAGCAGCTGGGTCAAAGTCCGGGCTGACTTACCCCTGTGTCAGCCCATAGGAGGGCAGCAGGCATGAGCCCTGCTCGGCCCCACCTCTCCTGGGCAGCAGGATGTCTCCCACCGGGTTTATGATGTTGGTTGTTGATGGGGCCCCGCCAGAAGCTCTTCTCTTTGCCCTCCGCCCCGTGCCCTTGCTATGGGGACTGGCACCAGCTGCAACGTCAGACCACAGCAGGGACCCTGGAAACCTTCCAGCACCCCCGCCATGCCAGGAATCCGGCTCAAAGGGCAGAACCTCAAGCCCCCTCCCACGGTAGCTCGTGTATTTATTTCTGGGGGGTTGCATGTTGTTTTGAAGAAGGCTCCCTCCTCTCTGGGACTCTTCTATTCACAGGGCAGCGTCTTGTGATGCGACTCCGCTCTAGAGTTACACTGAGCCGAAATAGTTCAGCCTTCCCAGCGGACTATCCGGTTCGTGGGGCCAATGCAGCCGGCAGCTATTTGTGAAGGGCAGGGGCCTGCCCCGCTGGCTCCGGCCCCTCGGCTGTGCTGTGGGACCTGGCCCTCAGTGAGCTCCTGGGGTGCCAAGCAGCCAGGCACCCCAGCAAGGGGATGGACTGACATTTG